TGCTGACAAACTCATATGGTCACGTGATGTAAAAACTTACAATACACGCACTAGAGGGAATACTCTCGTCGTGCCTCGTCACCGCACTCACGCTTTCCGAGGAAGTTTCAAATACGCCGCATCCAAGTGCTGGAACGATATACCGCCTCCTTTGCGAAATCTGAAAGCAGTACACACATTTAAAAATAAATATAGAACACAATTACTGCAAAGTCAGATTAACTTTGATCAAAGTTTATAACGCTTTGCACGATTACGTACCTCACCGTCATAGATTATTAACAACGGAGCATTAAAATCGTCCTTTTGAATGCGGCTTTTGTCTTCTTATATACTTTTATATTCTTCAATAATTACATATTTTTTTTTACTAATTATCTGGTCATTTTATTATATAGCACTTTATAGTATTTTAATAATTTCCCTTTTGTAGTATATAGCCCATTATAGTATTTTAATAATCTCCCCTTTGTAGTGTTCGTATAGCCCTTCTAAGAGCGTCTGAAAGCAACATAAACGGGACGTGCTGTGTCGAAGTGGCATTCGACCTTGAACTCTACTCTCTCCCTCTGACTTAAGATAGTTACTGTTTCTTTCCCCCTTGTTGTGCATAATTCTGTCATGAGTATACGTATAGCACTGATTTCGGTAAGTCACTGGTTGGACACACTGAAAATCAGCGCCATGGAGAGAAAAAAAAATTCATGGCATTATGCTGAGTGTGCTCCTGTTCCCAGATGACGCCTTGACACATATGAGTATTGGTATTGTATAGTTTGTAATATGTAGTATATTGTAATTTGTATTGTATAGCCAATATTATTTGTAAATTATGTGTTTCTTTTTTAAGTTACCTGTGATGGCGTCATTTTGGAGAATAAACCTTTCTTTCTTTCTTTCTTTCTTTCATTTTGATTCCTAATCAAGGATAGATTTAGTTTAAAAAAATGTCTACGCGCCACAACATCCACTTACCATCAAGTGAACTGTGTGCTTCTTTGTCACTCTTTATTTTTTTGAATTACATGACATATGAACGCAAACGACCAGTGTTACGTATACAGAAACATTAAGATACTGTCACCTTTACATGACGGAAGGCTGAAATGATGTATGTAACAACTTTACAACCGCACCATTAGCGAAGTACAGTATAGATGTAACTTAACGTCTATCTGTCACCAGACATGTTACGTAATGTTTTATGTTTACATATTGATGATCTGGGACTCTTTTTAACCAGTGTCAGTTCAATTTTGTTTGTTTACACAAAAACCAATAAATTCACAATCTCTACAAAACCCTATGCTGGGCACAGGTCCATCATTCCTGAAAATGTTAGGGAACGATTTCTTTGTAGAATGAGGGTGACAAACGAGCACACATCCCACTTGACGGAAAGCATGCTGCAGCAGACCTCTGCAGCTATCCTCGATTAAGGATACATATCTATCAAAATCCAGATGCGTTCTCACCCCTAAGGACTAAGATGGAATGGCTAGTTTCTGATGAAAAGGGTCTCTTACACTGGCCATGTGAAACACAGCAGCATTAAGTTGCTATTTCACTGCGCTTTTCCAGTGCTTGTTGGTGGACTTCACATGTCCTCGAAATATCTCATTCTTCAGACATGCAGGTCTCTCACCACTTATTCCTTCATTGCCCGTGGTAAATCGGAACATTCAAATTGCAATTAACAATTTAGTTGATGCGGTAGAGGATCGAGTTTGCGCTGTTTATGTACAGTGAATTAATGGTGAGTGCTTCCATGGCTTGTTTTATGTTGTTATATTAATATGCTGTAAATATTACTGAGTATTAGTTTAGTGTATATCATATTACATGTTGTTGTTAGTTGTCTCTTTATAAACGTGAATTTATAATGATAATCTTATCTATATCCTCATTTAAGAATAAAAAAGCGATGCATTGTCACCCCTGAGGACTAAGATGGAATGCCTCGTTTCCAGTAAAATGGCTCTCCGGTTCCCTAAACTCACCATACGAAACACAGCAGCATTAAGTGTTCAATTCTATTCTATTCTAGAACGTATAAAAACTAATCATCACTTAGCATCAGGTGGACTGTTATTTCGTTTGCCAAATTAATTAAAACAAAATTGAACACAAGTCATATACAACATAAGTGCAAACACAAATTATCTCTCGGAGCTAGATTTATTGCGACAATCCCTGCCTCTTGATAATGAACCTTTCTCCTATATCTCGTTGGCATCCCGTCAGACGCAGGAAGCTGAGTCTGCAACCTACCATTATTTCCGTCTATAATAACATGCTTCCCGATTTCATCGATTATTATCTCCACAATGAATGCAAGTAATTTCGCGGCGATTTTATCGCGTTTACTTATTTTGATATCTCGAGCGCTTTATAACATGCGTGGTAATGAAGGGAACTTGCGTTTTTCTCCTTCTCCCTGTTTTTGTTGTTCAAAATAGCTAATTTTTCAATTTGAATGAGGGCTAATAATTTCCTGCTCACCAGATGTCGTTAGTTGATACTAAGGTAAAGTTTTTTTGTTACTCAATGTCATTTAATTGAGAAGTTAGTTTTTAATAAAAGTTCATCATTTTCTAGAGTATTATATTAATACACAAAACAATTCCTTAGTGGTTTGCTCTTTAATTTCTTGCACATTTTTAACTTTTTTTAAATGTTTCTACTTTTATGAATATATGTGGCTTGGTTTTTTCCAATTAATATAAAATATAGCTAATAATACAGAAATAACTACGTGGTAGAGCCATGCTGCAGCTATATTATGGTTGTAGCACGAATGGGTCGGCTCGACCGGGGAAGGACCACGCTCTCACAGAAAACCAGCGTAAAATAGCAGCTTAACGCTGCTGTGTTTCGTATGGTGAGTGTAGAGAACCGGAGACCCCTTTTACTGGCAAAGAGGCATTCCATCTTAGTCCTCACGGGTGACAACGCATCTGCATCTTGAGTCTTTATTGAGGATAGATGTAGATGTCTATGGGTCACAGTAACCACTTACTATCAGGTGGACTGTGTGCTCGTTTGTCACCCGATCCTATAAAAAAAAAAAACATTAACCTTTACATTTTCCGAACTAATTAACTTCCCCGCTATGAAATCTGTCAAATATTATACCTCACTTTTAAGTGGTGGCAGAGTCCGCCCTGGTGGCAGAAAAAGTCGTGGATGCCCTTCATTCCTTTCTTTATCGTTGACGTACTTCTGCTTTGCATTTTTTTAGCCTCGCATGTTTTTATACGCTTACCTTTTCCTTAGCTTCGATGAGAGGTTTTCACATATAGTAAGTAAACCGTGTAGTGGAGGTTTAAGAATATCCAATATACCTCACTTAGTATGTGGTAATGTAACAGCAATATTATGGTTATAACACGAATGGTTGGCTCGGCTGTGCAAGAACAAGGCTCTTACAGAATACCAGCGTAAAATAGCGTAAAAAAGATGCTGTGATTCGTATGGATAGTGAAGAGAACCCGAGACACTTTTTACTGGAAACGAGGCATTACATCGTAGTCCAAGGTGATAACGCATTTGCATTCCTAATCGAGGGTTGATGTAGATTTCCATGGGCCGCAGCTTCCAATTACCATCGGGTAGACTGATGCGTCTATAAAAAAAATCGTTTGTTACGAATCCTCTCACTATATTCAGACATATGACGTGAATAAAATCGTACATAGGCTGTTATTTTAAAAGTAGGGTGTGCTAACATACCCTAATGATAGCAGTCACACAACGAAACCACTCTGTATTACTTCTAAAGTAATCTACATAGCATTACGCACGTGTTGCGACGCATATAATGGTCAACACATCGTCAGCCCATGAAATTGGTTGCATGGTACAATGTAGTAGTTCCTTGATGGCCAGCTTTGGCTTCCTTGTGTATTGTCGTATGAAATATGACAATATGACAGATGAATTTATTCATTCATTTCATCAAAAGCGACAGTAGCCTGATAGCAGGGTGCGGACTACAAACTCAAAAAGGTCGTGGGTTCGAATCCGCCATTCGACTACTTTCGTGAACCTCTCGTAACACAAATATTTAAGCTCACCTAAGAGTTGTTAAAGGGAACATTAGTAATGTTAATAGTATTGACAGTATTAAAAAAAAATATTACAGTTTATCAAAAGTCAATAGCATTGTCTTAAAAGGGGAATATATGGCAAAGTTGACTTGAAAAAAAATCTACAAACTTATGTTGCCCGACTTTTATTCGAGCACCAGACCATCGAGCCATTCAAATTCTGCATCTAAGAGATTACGAGCGTAATCAATTATTCCGTGAAAGGAAGGTAATTATTATTTTAGTTTAAAGTTTTATTCAACTTATACAATGGTGGAAAATTTTGAATTAACTTTTTTTACAAAACATAAACTAATTAACAATCAATAACAAAACATTACATCAGAAAAAATAAACAGCTAGGGAATTACAATGCAATCCGTCATGCTTTCTATTTAAAAAACGCACCCATTGGCCCGCCGAGAGGCGTTGGGTGATCGTGGGATCTATCCAGATCGGCTTCCGATAGTTGTTAAGGAGCTTTGACACTACACCTAAATTATGATAATTTTTTTTTCTACCACCTTCATTACCGACTTCATTACACAGTATAATGTTTGCTGAATTATTATTGTGGGATGAGTAACTTACTATTTACAGCATTAGAGCAAGGGCTCACCCAGATATATTATATCAATCAATCAATCAATCAATCAATTTCGTTTATTCAGTTTAGGCACATAAAGAGCACATATGAACGTCAAAATTTTACAATCATGTCAAGAAACAATTAATATAATATTAAATAAAGTAAATAAGTCATTTGAAAATGATTCTTTCGCTGGTTCGGTAAGTTGGTTTAAAATTACTATTAAATAAACTCAGTGAACAGTTTTATATATCGTTTCTTTCTTTTTTTAAACAATGTGTTTTTTTTTTAACTGATTTATATTGTGCGAGCAAGCAAAAAGATTAGGAAGACCATGGATTTTTATCTTTGAGGTATTCGTCTACTTTATAATATCCTTTTTTCATTAAACACTTTTTTACTTCTATTTTAAACTTATTTAGTGGCATGTCAACCAGGTCCTGAGGAATTTTATTAAACATTTTTATACTGTTACCTACAAACGAATTACCAACCTTATGAAGTCTGAGTTTTGGCACTACAAGTTTATTTTTATTTCTCGTATTATAATTGTGTACGTCAGAGTTTTTTTTGAAGAGATCTAGGTTCTTGCGTACATATAAGACATTATCGTAAATGTATTGGCAAGCAACTGTTAAAATATTAATTTCTTTAAATAGTTCTCTCAGTGAGTCGCGGGGTCTGAGGCTATATATAGCTCGTATCGCTCGTTTCTGTAATATGAAAATAGTCTCAATATCGGCAGCTGATCCCCACAGCATCAGACCATACGACATAACGCTATGAAAGTAGCTAAAATAAACTAATCGTGCCGTTTTCTCATCAGTCAGTGACCTTATTTTTCTAACCGCATAGGCAGCTGAGCTAAGTCTTCCTGCCAAGGCTGAGATATGAGAACCCCATTGCAGTTTACTATCTAGAGTCATTCCAAGAAAAACTGTGGTATCGACTATTTGAACAGATTCATCGTTCATTGTAATATGAGTATCTATCTGTCTTACATTAGGCATAGTAAAATTTACACATTTCGTTTTCTTCGCATTGAGCAGCAAGTTGTTACTTGTGAACCAATGCACTTTTTTAGAAAGGGTGTTATTCACATCGTCAAGTAATTCTTTATGTCTATCAGTTTTAAAAATTAATGATGTGTCATCAGCAAATAACACTATTTCACAAAGATTTTTAGTGAAGTGAGGAAGATCATTTACATATATCAAGAATAAAAGGGGTCCTAATATCGAGCCCTGGGGTACTCCCATGACTAATGGGGCGCCAGATGAGTTAGTGTCATTAATATTGACTTTTTGTACTCTACCAGTGAGGTAAGATTTAAGTAAGCTAAGTGAGCTGTTAGAAACACCGTAATAACCTAATTTTAATAACAAAGTCTCATGATCAACACAATCAAAAGCTTTTGATAGATCACAAAAAATACCGATGGCATCCCGCTTCTTGTCCCATGCATCAAATATATGTTTAACGAGTTCAACTCCTGCATCCGTCGTGTTTCTGCCTTTAGTGAAACCGAACTGTTTCTCATGAAGTAACTTATTATAAGTGAAATGTGAAAGCAGTTGATTAAATATAATTTTTTCAAAAATTTTGCTGAGTGCTGGGAGTATAGAGATGGGCCGAAAATTTGATGGATCACTTTTGTCCCCTGCTTTGAATAATGGAATGATTTTACTGTACTTCATGAGTGTGGGAAACTGTTTATCATCGATACATTGGTTAAATATGAATGCAAGATAAGGGGCAATAGCGGGCATTACTGATTTTATTATATTGGTTGAAATGCCCCAAAGATCCTCAGTCTTTTTTATATTTAGTTGCTTAAAAGTTTTAAGTACGGTTGCGGTGTCAATATACTGAAAATCAAAGTTAACACTACATTTATCAACGCAAGATTCAAGAAGAGAAGCAGCTTCGGTTTTTGAAGATTTTAGTTTACTAGTAGTGGTAATTGGAGCATTTGTGAAAAAAGATTCAAATGCAATGGCCACTTCAGCATCAGTATTGATGTGTTTATCATCTATTTCTAATTCGAAGGATCGATCACGTGACCTTGTTTTACAGGTTTCTTTGTTGATAACATTCCATGTTGCCTTAATTTTGTTATCAGATTTTTGTATTTTGGCCCGGATATAATTAGATTTGGCCATTGAACAGACTTTCTTAAACATTTTTGAGTACTTTTTAGTATGTTCAATGATTTGTGGATCATTTGTACATGCCTTTGTCTCGTATAATTCGTACAATTTCTTTCTACTCTTATAAATTCCAGGTGTAGCCCAATCACTAAATTTAATTTTGAGTTGATTAGTATTAATTGTTTTTTTTGTGAAAATGTTATTAAATTCGTATTTGATTACTCCGAACAAATCTCCGTATAGATCATTCGGGTTATCAGCAGTATTTGGCTCCAAAAGAGGTACCTTATTGTTAATATTTTCTTTAAATTTTTCTAAACGATATGTTGTGATTGGTCTACATACAATATTTTTAGGCAATGGAACATGTTGGTGCTCAAATCTAGCTAACTGACCTACATGATCTGATTTTATGAACTTTATTATAGATTTGTCGTTTACATCGCTGTCAGTAAAAATATTATCCAAGCAGGTAGCTGTTGTGGATGTGGTGCGAGTTGGTTCACAAAAAAGATTTTGCAAGTTAAAAGATTTAAAAAGATTGAGGAACCTTAACGCATTCTGGGAGTTTTCTAAGATATCAACATTAAAATCGCCACATACAACTACCGTCTTCTTACATTTACATGCCTTTTTTAGGGTTTCTTCCATAATGGATTCAAATAGGTGGCAATCTCCGGAAGGAGGCCGATAGACGCTAATAATAATATATTGATCAGGCTCTGCACATGATATTTCAATATTTCGCTCACTTGAGAGTGCTACAATATCTTTTCTTTCTTTAGATTTTAATTTGTCATTAATTAAAATGAGTGACCCACCTCTTATAGCGGTATCTCTAGTAAACGAACTAATGATTTTATATGTGATGATGAATGATTTGTATGAATCTATTTTAATAACAGAGTAGAATAGAATAGAATATTTTTTATTCAATATATTAATTATTAAACCTATTTTATATTGGATGTGGAAAAATACGTCCCGCTAGATTTTTTACCAGGACAAAGATGTTTACAAAGGACAGTGGTGTTTTCCGAACCATTGGTCAAAGGAAAAAAATTACTTTCAATAAGTCCATCCATCCATACACCCTACAAAAGTCCACTGCTAAACAAAGTTCTCCCCATAGATTGTCGCATAGGGGGGAAATTTGCCAAGTGATTGGCAGGTGGGTTAGCAGTCGCAGTTTGTTTTTTAATTTAGTTATCATAAGGAAAATGTTACTACACATCTGCTGGTTAGTTTCCCTTTGTCGCCTCTTACGGTACCCTGATGGATGATATGATGTAGTGGATGTATTTACAACGATACTACACGGTCAAAAAAACCATTTAAATCTAGAGATTTTATATTTTATTATGTACTATACGATAGTTAATTATCAACATGCTATTACCGTATTCTTTACATCCGATAAGTGTACACACTGCGTTATGAAGCCGCGTAAGTCAGTTACAAGTTGGTTTCCAAGTCCAGTGTAGAGAATGATTGTTATTAGCGGCCGACTTGGACTTTCCAATTAATCATAGTCGCGGTGTTGTATATATTATAGTCTATTACTACGTCTTTGCCGTTGACAGTAACATTTTTTTTATAGGATAGGGTGACAAACGAGCACACAGTCCACCTGATGGTAAGTGGTTGCTGTGGCCCATAGACATCTACAGGTATCCTTGTTTGGGAATCAAAATGCAGATTCGTTGTTACCCGCGAGGACTAAAATGGAATGCCTCTTTTCCAGTAAGAAGGGTCTCCGATTCTCTACACTCACCATACGGAACACAGCAGTGTTTAGCTGCTATTTTACGCTGGTATTCTGTGAGAGCGAGGTTCGCCTCCGGTTGAGCCGACCTATTCGTGCTACAACTATACTACTAATATAGCTGCAGCATGGCTCTACCACGTATAAATTTTTATAAATTTAGGTATTCATTAGTACTCAACGGTGACAACGCATCTGCATTTTGATTCTTAACCGATGATAGATGTAGATTTCTGCGGGCCACAACATCCACTTACTGTCAGGTGGACTGTATGCTCGTTTGCTACCCTTATAAAAAAGAACGCTAACACAAATAAGCACTCACCAGTTTTTCTGCAATATATTTCAAAATGTTACTGGCTTACAATACTTGTATAAAAAAAACTTCCAATACCTTCAATTTGCGCAACGAGATTCATTTGATGTTATCTTCTAAAAGAACAATTATCATTCGACTTTTGAATGTAACTGCGATTTTACGAAACGCTATGCACAAAATGGCCGCGGTTCCGGGAAGCAATGATAAAAGTAGGTTTTACAGATTTAATCGCGTATGTTAACTCATTTTGTGTTTCCGACGTTTCGAGTACTTTACAGCATCCATGTTCACGGGGGAACTGTGACCCGTGACCATGGGTGTTATACACGTAAAATCCCTAAAAACTAGTTTTAATTAAAAGTGTAGTGTACGCGTAAACATACGAAATCATTAAACGTTTATAAGTTGAACCTACACAAGGTTGTTGTGGGCGGATGGATCAGGTTACACGGCTGGAAGTGGGGACTGGTTGGATGAAAGTGATAATTTATATCGCTATAACACTTATTAGGACACGGCGAGTTGACATATTGCGTTCAACGCAAGGTCACAGGTTTAAGTTTGTCGTGTATCTTTAAGCAATTAAGTATGTTAATTTCTGTTAATATTTTTATGATGGATAAATTACATAATATGTTCAGATCAAACACGATGCCGTATCCTACTTTATATACATCGTTATCATCGTTACAGCCTGTCAAACTCCACTGTTGAACATAGGCCTCCCTTGTAAGGTGGATACTTGCCATAGTTGCCACGCTTGGCAGGCGCGTTGCAACCGCATTTTTTTTCTAGTTATTATCAGGAAGATACTGCTATCTATCTCCTAGTTATTCTCCTCAGTTGCCTCTTATGACACCCACAGGGCGACATGGGGTAGTAGATATTCTTATGCTGCTACTGCAAGGTTATTCACATTCTGTAAATACTAGGAGCAGATACAAGTCAGTAGTACCAGACAGTTAGAGTTACTCGACACCACTGAATCAATAATTCAATATACAAAATTGAAATCCACAAAGTTTTTTTTTTTATAGGATAATGGTGACAAACGAGCACACAGTCCACCTGATGGTAAGTGGTTGCTGCGGCCCATAGACATCTACATCTATCCTCTGTTACAAATCAAAATGTAGATGCGTTGTCACCCGTGAGGACTAAGATGGAATGCCTCATTTCCAGTAAAAAGGGCCTCCGGCCACCTGCACTCACCAAGCGAAACGCAGAGGTAAACCTCTACTTCACGCTGGTTTTCTGTGAGGTCGTGGTACTACCCCGGTTCGAGCCGGCCCATCCGTGCGACAGCATAAGCTGCCGCGTGGCTCTACCACTGTTAAAAAAACTGTTAAAAAACAAAGTTTAAAAAGTTTAACAAACTTTAACAGACTTTAACTTTTTTATAACATTAAGGAATTTATGCTATCGCTTCAAAGCTATTTCTAATTTGTTGCGATGTTAATTATGTAACATACATGAACTATTTTTCCCAGGACAGAGATATTTTCCGAACCAGTGGTAAATTAAACACAAGAATAACTTTCAATAAGTGTTATTTAAAATCAATATTGAATAAAAAAGTAGCTGTTTCTGTTTCAAAACTAACTAAGACTAAAAATTACAGGCACATTAACAATTACAGGCAAAATTACGACACTGTGAGCCGAATAGATTCTTAGTAAGAACCTCCCCCTCAATAAGAATTCATCCAGTCTATGTAAGCTTTTAAAAAAAATAAAAAAATTCATGAGAATGATATCTGAAATAAAGTATTTCAGATATCATATAACTTGTAGAATTACGCTCTCACAGAATACCAGCGTAAAATAGCAGCTGAATGCTGTTGTGTTTCGTATGGTGTGGAGTGTAGAGAATCGGACACTTCTTTTTACTGGAAATGAGGCTGATGACTTTGTTTTCCTTTGTCACTCTTGTTCTATAAAAAATAGATTATCCAATACTTTGGACCTGTTTGGGGCGCTCGTAAACGCCACGAACGAATTGCGGCGGGAATGCGGCGGACGTTTTAGTTTTCGCAATTTATCTAGTATATAAAGTATTTAGTTACATCGGCGGAGGACATTCGGGCGGAGATTAATGTCTATTGAGAGGCTTGTGTGACTAAATTCACTCAAGTGGCTATAATACACACACTAGGATTTTCTTCTATATCGTGGAGGCAGCTTACATACATACATTTCACAAGTACAAACATCCAGTGGGATTCGAACCCGCAGCCCTTAGCACTGCGGCTCATTGCTAAGCCAATGCGCCACGTAGCTGTCAAATTTAATTTTTAATTGTTGGTAGAATCCGTTTCTGGCAAGGGATACAGCTGGGTAAGTGCAAACCTCTTATCTGTTGTCTAGTGTCAGTGAGCGCACTGCTCTATTCCGCTTTTTAGCGTATATCTAGTATAATTAAAAGCTGTGAAGCATTCTACCATTTTTATAGGATAGGGTGACAAACGAGCACACAGTCCACCTGACGCTAAGTGGCTGCTGTGACCCATAGACATCCACATCTATCCTCAATAAAGAATCAAAATACAGATGCGTTGTCAACCGTGAGGACTAAGATGGAATGCCTCTTTTCCAGTAAAAAGGGTCTCCGGTTCTCTATACTCACCGCACGAAACACAGCAGTGTTAAGCTGCTATTTTACCCTGGTATTCTGTGAGAGCGTGGTCGATCCGACCTATCCGTGCTACAATTTTACTACTAATATAGCTCTTCTAAGTTCTTAGAGGTGACAACGAAACGCATCTGTACTCTTTATTTTTTGCTATTTTTAAGTAAGTAAAGTGAAGTAAAGTTGCAGCCTATTTACGTTCCACTGCTGGGCACAGACCTCCTTTCATTTCTGAGAAGGTTTTCGGGCAAGTAAATGTCCGCCGCGCTCCCCCAATGTGTGTTAGCGAACTTCGCATGTCTTCGTAAAATTTTTTTCTTATTTGTCAGACATGCAGGTTTCCTCACGATGTTTTCCTTCACCGCCGAGCACGTGGTAAATCAGCACTTAAAATTGCAATTAACAATTTCATTGGTGCCGGCAGGGATCGATCCCGGGTTGCTCGAGTACTGTGAAGCTCATAGCGAGCGCTAACCATCTGAGCTACCACGGCTCTACGGCTTTTAAGAGTTATTTAAAAATTGTTAATCTATACCTATAAATAAAAGCGTCTATCTGTAATATTGAAATAACTGCCATTTATTGACCTGAGGAGATCATTTCCATGCCATAAAGACATGAGTTACCATTTTTTTTTATTTTGTCTGTTTGTCTGGACTAATGTCCAGAACGGCTGAATCGATTGTATTAATACTGCACCAACAGATAGAGAGCTATGATTGATGGGCTATATTGTATCCGAAAATCTTAAAGATATTTCTGACAAATCGAAAATTTTATAAAATAAATGCCCCTTAAAAATTACCTTAAATCAAAATAACGGCACATTAGTAGATCCCAAATCCCACTCAAACGAATCCGGGGTGAATCACTAGTTTATAATAAAGACGTATTTGAAACTTACCAAATACTATATCATGAAACACAAAGACAAGTTAA